GGTTCATCTTCCAGGTTTCTGCATAGCACTTTTTCCCCCCTCTGTTTAACAGAACACTCTGTGAAGGAGGAGCCCTCCTAGTAGCACTCTGCATGCTTCTGTCACTAATACTCTAGGCTCACCTCCACCTAAAGTCCCTTCTCAATGATGTAAGTAACCTGGATTTCTGCACACCTCACAGCCTGGGGAAGGAAGGGAGAGAAAGAAGATGTACAGTGGGATTAAGTATTTTTGTCTCAATTTTCTATGACTTAAGCTTCTCACTGCTTTTGTAGATCATCCAGTTCTTTTAAAGTCACCTGACAGTATTTCCAAAATGTTTCATGCAGTATAACATGCACCCATTAACCAATGTGCTGGGGACAGTCTGCCATTTACTTTAGCTATCAATAGTTTCAATATTTTCTGTGAATCCATATTGAGGAATTCTCTGTCCTAATATCTTAAAGTCTGGGCCAGTGATGCTATACATTCTAAGATATTAGCAGCAACTGGAACTCTGGAATTCTACCAGGTTTTATTGTATTTGCCCTAAAAAATGTAAATTCATTGTCTGTGTCTCCTATTGAAGCAGTTTCTTATACTTGCCAAAGTTGAATAGAGTTAAGTTTATGGAAACTATTAATTAATTTGATGTATCCTGAGCACTTATTATATTCCAGGTACAGACATGCCTGGTCTCATGAGTAAATAAGATCCAGACCCCACTTGCTTCCCACTTTCCCTGTGACTGTGTAATGTGTGATCTATAAGCAGAAGCTACATTCAGAAGGCAATTGCAAGACCGTGTGATGAGAACCTTGATAAGGGTTAAGTCTTATTGTGTTGGAGCATATCAGAAGGGCAGCAGCCCATTTTTGGTATTCAGGGGGAGTCTTGCAAGGGCAGGAGTTGGGGAGGGGCAGTGGGGGTATGGGTAGGGGTGGAGGTAAACAGTGAAATTGAAACCCTTACCCAACCATTTAACTGGGCTGCTGTGGTTCAAGGTTCAGTCTATATCAGTAGATTAAAAATCAGATTCTTTTTCCCTAAACATCTTCCCACAATTTCCAGAAATATTTTTCTGGAGTTTAAGAGTTCATTTGATCTGTTTAGAGAAAACTACTATAAATAACCGTGGGCCTTCATGCCTCTTCCTCATTCTGGTCCTTCAATGGATGCATGTAGCAGTAGAAGACAGTGATGGGATTATTCTGGGGTTTTTCTTTCCTTCTAAGATTTAATATGAATCAATCCAGAGCATCTTTAAAATTGCAAATTGATGGATCCCACTTCCAGAGATTTGTAAAGTCCTGGGATCAGAGAATTTGCATTTTAAATTAGCATGCCTCATCATGCTAATCTGGGTACTGCCCTTTGATTAACCACTGGTTGCTAAGGGTACTAGTAGGAGAATGAGGATATGAACAATTATTTATTTATTTGGTTTATCAGGTGAGTTTATTTTTGTCTAGGGTGAAATCCAAACTATATGCTATGGCTAGTTTATTAAAAAACACATCAAGGAAACCTAACCAGATTTTGTGTTTTGTGTATGAGACTGATTTTTGAATATGGCCACATCCATCAGAAGCTCTGGTAAATTCTGAATGTTGTCATGACTTTAAGATTTTTAATTCACATTAACTGGTTGTTTTTGTTGTTTCTGTGGCCTTTTACATTTACCCTGAGCACTAGAAAGGACATGAAGTGTGTGAATCACTAGACTGCAATTACCATTATAAAGTTAATTAACTTGGGTCAATGCTGAAATGCAGTGTGACCTCTAGAAAAAGGTTAAGCATGGACATGGAAGTATGGAGATACTTATCAAGAAGGGCTAGATATGCATTTCATATGGAGTTATTGCATGCAAATCCATGAGTGTCTATTTTCTGCCCTTCCTACTTCAAGGTTCCTTAATAATTTGGGTCCTATGGTACAAGTCACATATCTTACTTTTATTTCAAATGCTTTTTGAATGTCAGTATCTTAACTTTGATTACTAAGAGTTTATTTTGATTAAAAAAACAAAGCTTTCAAGAAGACAAGAAATCAGTATTGGTGAGGATGTGGAGGAAAGGGAACCCTTGTGCACTGTTGGTGGGAATGTAAATTGGTGCAGTCACTATGGAAAATGGTATGGAGGTTTCCTAAGAAATTAAAATAGAAATACTATAGAATCCAGTAATTCTTCTTCTGGATATAATATATCCACATTAGATAAAACCAGGAGAGTGAAGAGGTATCTGCACTTCATGGTTATTGCAGCATTATTCACAATAGCCAAGATATGGAAGAATCTAAGTATTCATCAATGGATGAGTATGTGAGATACATACTCATACATGTGCGCACACAATGGAACAGAAAAGAATGGAATCCTACCATTTGCAATGACATGGATGGACCCTGAGGGCATTATGCTGAGTGAGATAAGTCAGATTTGTCAAATAAAGGCAAATACTGTATGATACCACTTACATGGGGAATCCAAAAAACTGAACTCCTAAAACCAACTGGTCAAATAAATATGAAATAGGCACAAGGAAAAAACACTGAGCTCATGAAAACAGAGAAAAGAATGGTAGTAACCAGGGTCTTGGGGTATGGGATTGGGAAGATGTTTATGGATTCAACCTCACAACTAGTAGATAAGCCCTGGAGATCTAATGCACGTGTTAGAGAATAAAGTCAATAGCACTATATTTTAAACTTGAAAGTTGCTAAGAGATAAATCTTAATAGTTCTCACCAGAAAAAAGGAATGATAAGTATATACCATGATAGAGGTGTGAGCTAACACCATGGTGGTAATCATATTGCAGTATGTAAACATATCAAAGCAAGACCATACACCTTAAACTTATAGTGTTATATGTCAATTATATCTCATTTAAAAAACCCCAAAGCTTTAGTATTCTAATAATAAATATAAAACTTATTGTTACAATTTTAGAAACCTATATTGTGGCTTGATAGAGTGATGAGTTATGTTCTTAAAGCATGTCTTGAAAGTTAGCCTGATGATGAATTCTAAAATCTTGTGATTTCAGGAGGCTCTGTTGAAGCCCAAAGCATTGGGGTAGAAACCCAGCTAACAGACCCTTCCTGCAAGTGCAAGGAAGCCAGAATCTGCTAAAATATTCAGACAAAGGGCTATTCTGGATTATTAACATTTTCTAGCTAACTGAAGTTGAAGAAGTTTCTTTGGTATTTTAAACACATAATATTGAAATGAATCTAATATTTCCATGGAAATTCAGTGTCACCACTATAATCAGTAATCACTTATATGCTCTAAAAGTGCAGATTCATTTAATTGAATGGATTTGGGGCTGGATGAGACAGGAGCATGGGAGCTGCTGTCTAATTTAACGTTACCTCACAATTAGGAACATGGCATCAGAGAAGGTACCTGGTCATGCATTGGTAAAGTCTTATCGATATGAAATGTATTCCTATTGCATCTTAGTAAAGAAATGATGGTGAAGCTTTTATTTAACTTCTAGCCACCTCCTTGGTAGTTCTCCCTTTAGCCAAGTTGAAAACTGAAATGCTCCTCTCCTGCCTTGCTGTAGGTTCCAATCCTATTAAGCTCAGTGCAGCAGGAGAGCAGGGGTGGGTGGGGGTGCTGAGAGCTGATCCCAGGCCTGCCTCCTCAGGCAGGCAGATGCTGGAGGGAAGAATTGAGCAGGCAGAGCACAGCATTTAGTCAGCATGCCAACCTCCCTGTGGCAGAGATTCAGGAAGGCTGTCAGAATCAGCAAAGGCCAACACAGAATTACAAGGGCTCCTGAAAGGCAGATGGAATTCAGTGATGTTGAATGCAGGAGGTGGCAATACTTGATTGGTTTAGTGATCATTTTCCAAACCTACTGATCATTTCTTATCTTCATGCTTCTGTCATTACCTTCTCTCTGCCTGAGGCATCCAGAAGTTCCTGAGGAATGGAAATCTTGTAATTTGACTCTTAATTTGAATAAACTAGGAAAGTGTATCATTACATTTTGCAAGTAATAGAAAGTGTGATTGTAGTCAATTAAGTAAGGAGAGTTTAGGCAAAAGTAGTAGTCTGAATCTGTGGTTCAGAGGCATAGCAAGATGGGGGTTAATTTCTCTGCTTTTCTCTTGGCCTTTTCCTCTTGGGCACAAAACAGTTGCCCAGCTCATGTAGCAAGACTATATTTAGAGAGGAAGAAGAGTAATGGGGAAGGTACAAGCCTTATCTTTTTACCCTTTTATCAGAAAAAATGAAGGGATTCTCAGAACTATCCCCTTCCCCTCAAGAATTATACTCATGTCTCCTTGGCCACAGCTAGTGGGATGGAATGCTGAGAGAGTGAATATGTCGTTTTTCTAGCCTCTATGATAGAAGTTGGCAAAGAAAAATGGTATTAAGAATGGTTTTGGATGAGCTAGTCTACAGTGAGCTTGTGGCAATCCATAAGCCCAGGGAGCTGGAAGCAATAGTGTGGCCACGTCTTTCCTAAAATGAAAGATCTTTTTTACAGTCAGAATAACTGACTCCAAATGGCTTTACTTATCAACTTGGATGTTTGCCGACCAGTTTTGTTTCAAGCGGAAGCTTATAATAATGTGCCTTATTTTCTGCTTTTTGAATTAATGCCTTGCACATGTGCAGCATTTTACTGTACACAGTGCTTCACACCTATTATAATATTTGAGCCTCACATGAACCTCGTAACCTAAAAATTATTATCCATGTCTCACGGAAGAGAAAGTTGAGACAGAGCACACTTGGGTGACTTGTACCAGGCCCAGCAGCTAGTGTAAGCTGAGACTTGAGTCCAGATGTTTTGATTCTAGTGTCCATGTTATTACACTTAGGAGAAGATGTTTCAAAAGAAATGAAACAGAAAGATTGAGGTTCAGACAGAGTCTAAGATGTGTTAATTTTTGAAACTGTAGACATCGAATAAATAATTTGTTTCAGGAAATATGAAGTATTTTCAGATCATGTGAAGGCATGAACTCTTTTTTTCTCTCTCTCTTTTTCAGAGATCCTCGGCCAGCAAGTCCTCAGGTGCCGCTTCCTATAGCAGATGGTCCAGTTCACAGCCACATCAGGTGACATGCTCGTTTTAAGAACCTGATCACGCTTGTTGTCCTTGAAGTGTGCTTACTCTTACATGTTCTGTCTCCAGGCAAATGTGGAGGGTATCGGGCTCTGTCTGTTCCCACCAGAAGGGGGCCCCCTTGAAAAAGCGCTGTGCCGTTCCTCGCTGTTTGCTTTTCTGTGCCACGTGTTTTGGGACAGGGCTCTGTGAGGGGGACAGTGACAGGAAACAGCCGAATTTCCACGTTCAAAGCCTTCCTCAGTGGATAGCTAAGAGAATCAATCCAGCAGTTATTGAAAGTGAATTTTGCCTTGTCTTTCTTCAACCAAAGGTTATCCCTTTCTGCATCCTTTTATCCAGGAAATGGTGTTGGTGTACATTCCCATGTGTACTTGCACTCGTGCGCCCATGCAGCGTAGATGCCAATAGATCAGAAGATGTGCTGGTGTGCAAGGAATCCTTTTTTTCCCTTCGCTTCTCATTTTAATTAACAACTGCTATTCAGGTCAAACGATCCTAAACATTTAGCCTCTTTAGAGGAAGTTAAGCCAGCAGGGGGCTGTAGTCTCTCTGTGTAAACCAAGAAGGCCCTTTTCTGTTGGTGAATAATTTTTACAGGTGACACACTCAGACCACATGGGCTTCTCTTTGACTCTAAAACCTGACTAGGACTTGCATTCAAACTAGCTGTGAGTTATGAAGGCAAAAGGAAAGAAACTCCCATTTGTCATTTGTTGTATTGGTCAGAATCTTTTCTGAGCCTTTTCAGGTTACAGAGGCTTGGCTGCAGTAATTATAAGAGAATCACACTATAAATGGTTTATATTCACATTTTCTCCCTCATTTTATTGACTTTCTGTAGAAATTTAGCTTTGGTGATAGTTTACTCCAGCATCAGCTTATTGTGAGAACTCTTGTATACTACTTTTATCCTTTCTTTTTTGCAATTAGAAACTGATGTTTCAATAAGGCAATACTGAAGAAAGTTAATAAGAGAAAATAAATAAGAATAATAAGAAAAATACATTCTCCCATTTTATCACAGTGCCTATTTTTATATTGAATTGGCTGGTGGAAAAAACAGTTGAGATGATGCCCCACCTCTGTTGGCATCAGCTTTGTGTGGGTGCTATAGTTCCTGGTCATTTGGGAAGGCTGTGTTGCTTGGTGCATGTAGGCTGGGAAAAGAGGTGGCACAGCCAGTGGAGCAGTGGCACCCATCAAGGACAGTGGCTTTGAATATCCAAGTTTCCTTTATGTAGGAGAGTTACCAGAAATGGGTTTCATTTTTACCCTCTCATGTGTTGAACGGAATGTGGTTATATTAGGAGACTTTCAGTCTTAGCAGTGTCTTTTAGATTGGGGACATAACTTGATGGCATTTCTAAATGGTACCCTGATTAAAGCTAACCTTGGTGACATTTCTTTTGTACTGAGGATTCCCTGTGACTCTAACTGAGGGGAGTGGTACAGTTCTTCTATTTTGTAAGTTTCCCTGGTGATTATCTATTGTGCTGGTCCTTGGTTTGTTTGTTTTCAGATGTACTCCAGGCCTAACCCTTGACATCTGTCCCAGGTTCCCTTGCTAAATGACTGTTAAATACTTTTTCCCAAAGGGAGGCATTGTAAGCAGATTGGAAAGAGCTGGAAAGGTAAAAACCAGGATATATTTCTCTCTCTCTGTTGCTTTGGGTAGTGTATCCCCATGGTCTGAGCCTCCACGCAGCTCCAGCTCCCTTGAGGCAGCTCTGGCTTCTGGCCTATAGGTACAGTCTCCTTTGTCCCCCAGCTCTAGTGGGGTAGCAGCCTCCCCCACCCTTCTGTGTCTGGTTTAGCTCCCCTAACACCCTTAACACTAGTTCCCTGTATTAAATTCCTTCTCTTGGACTGCCTGGGGTGGGCTCTGTTTTTCCAGCTGTTTTCTGACTGACACACCTACCATGACATGATATGCTTCATTCTTTTGTCCTATAACAGGGGCTTGTAATTTTAGCAATATAATGTGAATTCTTACAGGATCCCCAGCCTTGCAGCTGCTGAACGCTCTGAGGTTTATCCTCTTGAGCTGGCATGGTAGGTGGTGATCCTTTTATACCCCTATTCCAGACAGAATAATTATTCCTCTTCTTTGTTACTCAGGGTCTAATCCTTCCCTTTCAAATTTGTGTTTATTACAAAAACCTTTGTTTTTTTGCGTGTTGGCAATATAATAGGCTTATTGGCTTCAGTCTTTGAAAGTAACAACACAGATTCTCAGCCTGAGGTTGAAAGTACAAGTGCAACTCAGTCCTGGATTCCAGCTTTGTGTATTCCTCTGATTTTTTGGCATCGGCAGAACATTTAGAAACAAAATCTAGTCGTGGATTTATATTTACTGAGAAAAGTGGATCTTTTCCTGTTTGCTTTCAGAACACCATGTGTAAACCTCAGATAGACACAACCACAGATAGAGCACTGAGTCAATCCGTACACAGGCAGATATATGCTCACTGGAGAATTCATATCATCATTCCTTAATCATTATCATAGATATTTGTTGAATGTGTGCTATTTCTTTACATGCACTATCTCATTTATTCTCTCAACATCTCTGTGATAAGGATGCAATATTTTACAAATGATGGGACTGATAACCTGAATGTTCAGCTTGTCCAATGCCATAGGGTTGGTGCTTTCAGATTCCAGAGCCAGGAGTGATACAATCTCTCTAAAGTTTTTAGACTAAATTAAATTAACACTAAATTAAGGCCACTGAAAACCATTTCCATAAATGACCAGACACAAATTTTGACCTTTAGGTACTATTTCTACTCTGAAATTATTTTGCATAGTTAACTTTCTTTGTTGAACCAATGCTTATATCCACTCAAGTGTAAATAAGTCTATTTGCAAATAGACAACTTCCCAAACATAGATCTTAATATGTATGTACTAATAAATTTTTTTTAATTCATCATTTATTTATTTGGAATAATTTAGGAACAAATTTGTAAGAAAAAGGTATCTCCTCCCATCATTTTTCAGTTTTTAAGAAATGCATATAGTTTTATATGCGTACAAATATCTATCACGTCAAAGTCTTGAACTTTGAATAAATGAAACAGACAAAGGAGAATGGTGACTGGCTGCCTGGTATCTTCAAATCTGAAGCCCAATATGATAAACTGAAATTGTGATTTTTTTTATGCCTATTTGTACTTCTCTTTGGAAAAGCTTCACATTTCCCATCTTATCTTTTCTCTCATTTTCAGAACATTCCTTATAAATATTAAATAGCCATCTTCTTGTGGCTTAGAAATGAAAAGTTTATCCTTTGGGTGATTGGCTCTAATCCAAGCACTGGGTATTAAAAACCTTCAGTGTAATGGTTTGGCAAATAACAATCAATTATTGATTGATTACTGTTTCTTTAACCCTTAAATAAACTTTATGTTTTGAGTAGTTCTTGGTAGGTGAGAACCTTAAAATTCATCTCATGAACAGGAAGAACCACTGAATTTAAAAAAAGATATGATATGTTAAGAAGAGACAACTTACTCAAAATAACTCAACCAGAAATTTGAGTATCATTATATTCTAGTGGCAGATGAAACTGACAGCGTTCAAGGCTGACAGTTGAAGTTTCAGTTATCTGGAAGTTACATTGTTATCTGGTGTTACATGAGGGAAGAAGAGAGTACTCTGTTGTTTTACTATGTTTGTGTAGTAAGAGAAAGGATAGTGAAGCTCATTGGTAAAAGGGTACAGTGGGTATTTTTCCCAGCTTATATAATGTAGTCATACCTGAATATGAAAATCCATGTACTTAGCACATAGTAGGAGCTCATAAAGCATTTGTTGAGTGAATGAATAAATTGTATGAAATGACAGCAGGAAGAGAATGGGGCAGGGGGACCTCAAACCCATATTTATTTTTCTTTCCTTCCAATCATTAGTTTCTACCTTCTTCATAGAGGCTCACATCGAAGCTGATAATTATGAACTGACAGAGGTAAAATGCACTTTGCCTCATTTCTGGTGTTGGTTTTGATAGGAAGCATTGTGGAGGGAGAAGTAGAGGCTGCCAGAGGCCAGGAGAGCTCATACAGTGAATCACTGGTGCATCTGATGTTATGCCTTCAGGTTGTCCATTGTAGGCATTTTAGGAACTACTGTGGTCACCATGAGATCTCAGTGATGAGACAGCGGCGGTGAGACCCTGTATATGCTTACTTGGTGCTCTGAACTCCCAGTTTATTCTGATGCAGGATTTTGAACACAACTGACCCCTTTGTCTGTGTGTGCATTTGTTGAGGTTTGTGATTTTCAATAAAAACAAAGGATTTATTTTATGCATATAAAGACCACCAGGAACACATATGTGTTAATCCAAATCTGATGTTATTACACTTGTTGTCACTTGTGGCCATAAAGGAGACAGCATACCACGGAAAATGAGGGGTCTGAGAAGGGATGCTCTTGTTGGGAAGGGCTGGTTTTGGGGTACAGGCTCATGTTAGGTGATGTTAGCGAAAGTGGATTTTGTTCTGAAATGAGTAGTGCTGGGAAGTGGGGGCAGTTCTATGATTGACTATGTCACTTATTTTATCTAGAAGGTGAGAGAAATGGAGTGGGTGAAAAAAATCAGCAGTCATGTTACCTCGGTGAAGGCGATGTTTGGTCACTTTTCTGAGTTTGACAGTGGACTTGATTTTCTCTCTGCTTGGATGTAATTGTAGTGTTTTGGTCTTACTCAATACAGGTTATGCAGTAACCTTGCCTAATCTGATGTTGATGTTCATGAATTGTTTTTGTTAAGAGAGAACTCCTTGGCCTAGGGGCCAGCACCGACAGTCTGCCTGAGACAGCACTGTTACACACACACACACACACACACACGCACTTTACATGACTGCATCTGTACTCTCCTCCCAGGTCTTTGCCTTCCTCCCGATTTTTGCACTCATATTTGAGAATATGACCTGAAGAGCAAAGTGGCAATGCTCTTAACTAGAGTTGACATCCAGCTGA